CACGAATAAAGAATAGCAAAGTATATTATAGAAATAAACTAGGCCAACGATGACGATTGATGAATATTAGTACCTATGTCAATTTTTTGCAATTTACAGTTATTTGTTTAAACTAATAAAAACCTAATTACTATAATTATTAAATAGTATAATAGTAAAAACTATGAAAAATCATATTAGGTAGGTACAAATTAATGTTGTGTAAGACAAAAATATTAGTATTAATTATTAATTTATGTAATTTGTCATCTCATTATCTCAATATCTCATATACTGCAGGTATGCATTCTTATATAGTTTGGTACAGCTACTTCTTATAAGTTCATAATAAGTAGACATATTATACCTATATGGCTGTATAGTGTGTACCTAATATTAATATTTATTTGTACTGAATTTAATTTTTGGAAATGCGCAATTATTACAATACACAATATTATCATATGCTGTTTGATTAATGGTTTCTCGTGTAAAAATATTTTTGTTACGATGATTATATTATAATATTGTTTGTGCCTTTCATAAGTATAGGTACCTATAATATTAGTATATCTATAATATAATATAATATTGCTAGTGCTTCTATATTGAAGTTTTTTAAATTTAATTTGTAAAACTACTTACAGTTTACCATTCGTTTACCTGTATTCTGTAATAATAACCTACTTTTATAATAATATATTTTGAAATATCAACTTAGCAAAGGTTAATGTTTATACTAAGTAAGCATAAGTGTAAACTGCAAGTAATAACCTCATAAGTAATTAAACATCGCAATTTAGACTTGAAAATAAATAATAATGTAGATATTAAACTATAAAATATTATATAGCTTATATAATATATATAGACATATAGTACCTATTGCAGTATTCAGTCCAATTTATTTATATAAATTTATAATAAATAACAGATGACTTAACGTGATTTTTCCTAACATTTAACAAAATTATAATTATTTATTTTTGTTATAACAAAATAGTATAAAATATGTTAGATTAGGTTAAGCTATGTTCGTCATTGTATAAGAACAATACTCTAAAATATTTTTAAATGTTTTAAATGTTGGTAAATACATTTATATAATTTCCATGAAGTAAGGGGATCACTAGGGCCACAATATGTCTACGGCCCTGGATATACGTCTAGTAGGTATGTATAGAGAATAGTTGGATACATATTAATATAATATAGTATATACGATCAATGACCATGGATAATTTACATTTAAATAATTAAATTTACTGTACAGAACAGATTTAGCATCATATTACGTTTACAATTCATATTAAGTGACATAATATTTAAATAATAATTATAGTTATAACAATAAAGTAATAATTATAGGTTTATAAGTTATAAGTATGATCTTATTATGGGCAATAATAATTTGTAAAATATTATTTAAGTACGATCATTAAATGTATATATACTCATAAATTCGTATTTAAATTATTTATATCTATAAATACTAAGACTATGATAATTGATAGGTCTACTTTTTTTCAATTTTTTTTACGCATTCATTTTACGTCGAGCAAATATTTATAACGTCAAATGCAATTAATTGTTATCTCATAAATTATTTTTGTGTTGGTACATATACACTATATTATATACAGTATACACACCGTTTGCTTTAATATACAATTTAAATTACATTTCATATTTTAATTACATTTGCACAATCAAAGGGTTAATTTATAGTAAACTACAGGGTTAATGAATAAAGAACAAGAATAATATACATATTTAGGTACCTATTTGAGCCACAAACCCACAAAACATATTATCGTGGTGCGATTGTCCTATGCTTTAATAATATTTTTAATATTTTGATTTATTACAAAAAGTATTTTATGAAATGACCAATTGACAAATGTGTACACAAAACACCTTGGTTCATATGCAATTATAATATAAATAAACATTCATTTTTTGTGCAGATGGAACCGTAATTAAATTACCTATTTAAAACTTATATCTGGAAATAATACCTATTATAATAAATAATAATAATATATAGGTATTAGGTACCTAATATAATTGAACCATGGAGAACTTTATGTTCGAACAACGCCTATAATATATTACCTACCTAACTATAAGTTAAAAATGTTTTAAATGTTGGCTATACCGAAGATACTGATATTTTTTACATTTTGATTTAATTTTTTAAAACGACAATATTGTCTAAAAATTAAATAACAGTTTAATAGTTTAATTGAATAATTATTTCCATTTACCTGCAAGGTTTAAGCATCTTAAATAAAATATAGAATTTACTTTATAATAATATTATGTTTATCGTAATTATATTTATCTCTTAATTATTGCTTAATAGCTCATTGATCCAATTCTAGACCATATATTTTCTCAATACAATTTTGTGTTTTTAAGTCTTTTGACAAAAAAAAAATTTATAGTTTTTACTAACATCGATTTAGTTTTATGTGAGTTTTAATAGCTCAACATCTTTTTATATACATTTATTTAAAGAATTTGACTAAATTTAGTCCTCGTTCCTTAGGGTTATTTACATGATATTATAATATTATAATGATTCGCATGAATTTTTACTATATATATAATATAATGTATAAATATTATCTTTATGATTCTAACTTTATCTTTATGATATGAAATTATCGACATTTGAATGTTCAAAAATGTATAAAAATGTATAAAAATACAGAGAAGTAAAATAATTTGAAGAAGTTCGTTACCAGCGTACTACTGTAAATGATTAGGTCACAGTTAAAGTACACACTATAGGGAAAAATAATAAAAATAAAATTTACAAAATAAAATATTATATTGAGTAACAACTATAATAATAATCAATTACAAGCTATATCATGCACGTAGAAGTATATTATTTGGTAAATTAAATAGGGCGTGGTTAATCTTTTTGTCAACCCGCGTACAATTCTCAACCCAGTTGTACGTCGTATTGTACTTGAGTATATAATAATATACCCTCTTTATTCGTTGATACTGCCAAAGTGACGTAATAAACGATATTAAATAATACTATTGAAACATGGTTCATTTATTTTATTTTATACAAACTCCACATAACATATTATTACATTATACTATCTAAAATCTAATATACCAAATTGATATTGTTGTTATTATAATATATTATGGTAGGTAAAAAACCAAAGACCCGCATAAACCACATTATTGTTATTTCTCATAATGTTTTAGGGGAATTTAGTCGCGTTCAGTTGTACAATATTTATATTTTATTTAATAACATTTTCATACTTAAATTACTCATCTAGTAAATTATTACCTCATCTATACTTATTTTTTAAACGTCCTAAATCCGAGTATTTATAAAAAAAATTTTTTATAAATTAATAGAAAATATTGATTTTATAATCTTCAGCAAATGTAATTGCATTGTTCATGACGGAGCAGCAATGTGCCTAAAATATTAATTTTCAATTAACAAAAATAAAAAATGATGATATAGTGTCATAGTACAAAACTATAAGATAAAATGTAATATAGTAGGATAAGGATATTATGTTATGTAATAGTATTGAGCATATAATATTATGTTCAATGTTTATAAGGAAGAAGCAGGAACGGATGTCGTTCAAAACAGCAGTCGAACGACCGGCGGCGGTGACGCGTATACCTACCAACCTATATAATATAAACTGCACCAATAGACGATATTATGAAAGTACTTTCGGCGAACAAAATAAAAAAAACAATATCATATAAGTTCGTTTAAATCTATATTATCCACCATCCTGGATGTTATTTAAAAATTAAAATGTACGTATACCTGGTAGTTGGTATATTACCAATATTACCATACATTATAATAATATTATTTACCAGCGATACTGTATTTAAAAGCCAAAATTAAATTCATAATATTACGGTATTATGGTGACGGTATAAATATGGCCAACGGTGGTGGTCGTCGACCGCAAACACATATTGACAATAATATTATGATGATATAGGTATATGAATCGATTGTTACGTTTGATCGACCAACGAGTCTTCTACGCCATATTTATAACGTTTGGTTGATTTTGAATCGGTGAGTAGAGTAATAGTAGACGGGTACTCTTCTTAATATCTTATTAATAATATTGGATATCACAGACCAGTGACCACAGTACCACACGTATATTATAAGTATTAAAAAATTATAATGTTTTTTCGCCGTACTATTGGTACGAACAAAAAATAATACATTATTATTTATTATGTATCTTAGGCTGTGATATTATTATTATTACGTTTTCAAGCGCAAAATACGTCGTCGTCGTATACGGTGCGCCGCGGCAGTGGCAGACAATCCGCTTTCGGTCGATTCGTGCCACGCCAGAACCGGACCGGACCACGACGGCGACAGACCAGCGGACATAATCGTCGGCGGTGTGGCACTGCTGTCGGCCGACCGATCGCGCGCTGCGGCCGCCGGCCGTCCGTGGTTCGCCGCCGTCGCTTGTTTCGATTGTGTTGGCGTGCAAACATTGAAACATCGATAGGTTTATATTATGTGTGTGAGTTGTTTGTCGGTTGTCTGCCGGTGGGAGGGAGGCGTGCGACGAGGCCAGTAAAGCACAACGTAATTATTATTTTTTATAAACGTTTTATAATGACACAGATTACTGATACATTTTGTTACACGGCGTCCTAAAGACACAGACGCGTCCGGTAAACGGCGATTGTCGACAACTGGAAGATTGGAAACTATTTTATTTTGATTTACAAATGTTCCGATGTCGTCTGAGATCTACGTCGTACTACTATTACAGTAGTATATAACGACTATAACATTTACTGTACAACACACACACACCCAAACGTCCCAAACGAAAAATATTTTTCGAATGGCAGCGGTGGCGACGAAATGAATATATTAGTTTTGCGATGTTCGCGACATATTGTAACTTATAAATATTATTATATCGATAATAATGTTACTTAGCGACATCGATAGCGAACGCGAGAGCGCGACTTACCGTGTATCCGGCGGCGGTGCCGTGGTGGTGGCGGCAACGAACCGCTCGGCCGCTATCGGTCGTCGTCGCACACATCGTCCCCACCCTCAATGGTAGACCGTGAGGTGAACACACACAATCGCACACCGACACACACTCGTACGACGTCCCGCACGGCGCTCCCTCTCCAGTCCGCATTCGACGGTGATCGCGTATGGTTGCGAGTTACTTCACGTCGTCCGTTCTCTTGGCAAATGGAATTTTCGCCGCGCACATTACACCAGTCGACCATCGGGAACAGTCCAACGATTTGAAAGCAGCCTGTCTAAATGGATGGTAAGCATCATCAGCGATCGTGGGTCGCTCCCGGGCGGGACGAACCAGCCGCCAAGGTGTCGGGTCTGTAGGCTATTTTTTGTATTTTCCAAATTTTTTTATATTTTTTTTTCCCCGATGCACTATTATCGGCCGACTACGGCCCGTGGCCGCTTATTTCACGTGGTGTGTGAATCGCGTACAGTTATTTTGTCACGTAACGTTAAATGTTAATGCACGGTGTCGCCTAAGAAAACCGGATGGGGCTGCCTCCGCTGAGCGGGCAGTAGCAGACACGTTTTTTTTGGGGCACGTCGGCGGCGGTCTCCGTCGGTTGGCGTGTTGCCGCCGCCGCAGTTACGTCGTGTGGCGCACTTGGCCGCCGCGCGCGCCGTCGCTTGGTTTGGGGCCCACTGAGCGCGCGCCCGTTGCAAACAACAACGCCGCTGCCGCCGATCCCCCGCTACCGCCACCGCCGCCGGCCCACAGCTGAGTAAGTCGAGATCTCTACGGCGGATAACGTCATAATCGTCGTCGGGTCTCTCTTTCGGTTCGGCGCGCAGTGCGTACGAGTACGACGCTTGTTCGTGTGGTGTATCGTGCGGGTTCCGTTTCACGTGTAGCGGATTAAAAATTTTTTATGATCAACCCGGAGGGGGTGGGATATAATTTATAAATTATAAACAAATAAGGACGAGGAGCTACGACTACATTTTTTTGCTTTCGGTATTTTTCCGGTGTCGTGTCTTCTTTTCACCGCCTCGTGGTGATATCGCCTTCCGTTTCGTTTAAAACTGACAAGTGACATTTAGTTTTGCCTTTACCAGACCCAAATCAAGGCAAATCCCACTCATCAATAATATGTGCCCGAGTGATATATCGCGTGAGCACTAAGTACATTGTCCCTCAGAATTTTTTTTTTCTATAGAGACCAAATTAATCTGCTAGAAATAATATATTGTAGGCGTGCTTGTATGAACGTGTACCGTGTGTATTAAACACGATCGCCCCGTATAATTCCTAGCTCTGTGCGTGTTGTGACGTGTAGTTGTCGTCGCGTACGGACGATCTCGTTTCAAAACCATTTGGTTCTGTAGTCTCGTGGTAGGTAGTAGGTATAATATAGCGTTTTGCTTTGTTCTGGTTGTTTGACCGCCAACCGTATGCCGTTTCAAGTGTGTCCCCGGCCCCGTCCCGTGTTCGTGGTGTCGTGGGGTCAGTTTCGAAAATAGAAATTGCTCGATATTTTTTTCCACGCGGAAGTAGGAGGAGAGTAGTCGGTGTCTTCTTGTCGATCATTCCGCACGGGATAATTTACACCTGTTTTTATATACTGTTATTGCCTCGACCGCGGTAAATGACGATTCGGGAAGAATGTCCTACCCACATGTGCCTAAAAAAAAAAATTAGTGGTAAAATATAATATTTCATTTTGAAAATGTTTCACGATACCGTATATTTATTAATTATTGCCATTAGCAGCAGCCCTCCTCTATGCCGTCGCGGCGTTAGTCCGAGTATAATGGATAATGAAACGAGATAAGTTTAATCGTTATTCGACGACATTGCGTTATTTCAATACTGTTGTGGAAACATGACATGCTATTATAATAGTCCAATGTTTTCGAGAAAACTGGCAATACACGTCTGAAAAACCGGACGGCTGTCCACGACATGATTATACGTCGATCGCGGAGCGTATCTACGAATTTTAATTCTGTTTCGATGGCATTTTTCTAAATGCGTATAGGTTAAATGTGAAACGTATATTTTCGTCTTCCAAGGTGTTCGTAAAATACAATACTTTACTACATTTACTCGATACACTTAGTAGTAACATTTCGCGTTCTTGCGCACTGCATTATCTTGTCATTATCTCTTTTGCATAATAATTATTATTTAAACTAATCCGGTAAAATTACTTTCGTGGTGTAGTGTTTCACTTTACGTTAAATTGATCTATTGGATTCGGTGTGATTATACTGAACAGTTTAACTTTTAAATGTTACATTCGGGATAAAGACGACACTAGATTGAGTATAAACTGTTAATTAATTAATTTTTTTATTGAATAAGACGAAAATTTGGCACATCCGCTTATACAGCAGTAAAAGTATTAAGTTTTTTTTATAAATTTACTGTAAGTATAACAAATAACGGCCACGCCTACTTAACGTCGTGCGTGCTAGATCCGCTTCTGTTGTACCTGTACGGCATGGTCGAAATTTTAATAGTTAATTAATGTGTGATAAATGCGTATAAACTAACCTAGGCCGCTGGCTAGTAAAGAAAAATCAAACAATTTTATAAGAAGCATTATAAATTATTTTAGTGCATAATAATTATAAAGGTAACCCTTGTTAAAACCTTTGTCGCACAATGAACGTCGAACGACGATGTAATTGACATTGCATTTTTTGTATTATATTTCCAGCCAGTGGCTTATTTAGGGAGGGTGAGGGGTTATTGCCCCGGGGCGCCCAGTTCTGAGTCCCTCAAAGGGGCGCCGTCACTGTAGGTTAAATTGTTTTCAAGGTGAAGTTATAACAACAAAAAAATAATTAATTATTTTATTTTAATGGATTGGTTGAGAAATTATATCAGTGATAACCTATGTATCTTTTCTTATTATATCTTTTACATTTATACATATATAATGTATTTTATTATATTAATGTCACCTGTACTATTCAGAAAAAATTATTTTTAAAAAACACCCTTTTCTAAAAAAACAAAAAATAATGAAAAATTTAAAAGTGTGTGGTATAATATGTCAAGTTTAAGAGCGCCACACACTTTTAAATTTTTCATTATTTTTTTGTTTTTTTAGAAAAGGGTGTTTTTAAAAATAATTTTTTAATTTTTTATTTTCTACTTTTTAGTTTAAAAAAATTTTTTTACGGATTATTGTATTGTCATCCAAGACCAAGGTCTATACAAATTTTCAGAATTTTTCATCTTCAAAAAGTGCCTCAAATCGAGCGCGCAAGATTTGATCACAGACACACGTGTAACCAAACTTAAGAAAAGTGTTAAAAAGACTAAAATCTAAAATTATAATTTGTTTTATTTCATTATAAAGGTTGACTTTTTTATTAGGAATAAATGGAGTGGTAATCGTAAAATAAAAGTGTCTCTAAACTAGTAGAAGCATAATTGCAATAATGTGAAAAATATACATTTTGGGGTATCACTTTTAACGGAGAGAAAAATTAAATTTTCAAATTAGAGGCGGCATAAAAGTTTTATTACAATGAGTAAAAGGAAACTGAGAAAATAGGGGTGCCAAAATGTGTGTACCTAGGGCGCCGAAATCGAAACTAATTTATTATTTATATAATACTATGTATTATTATTAAACAGCAAGTATAACCAATGTACGTTTTAATATCAATTCCCTAAGTTTCAATTTAATTTCGTTCATATTACAGAAACGTAATAAATCCTGTACGGAATACATGCACCAAATTAATTGTTTTTGCAAATTAGATGTATTAATTCTCTAGTGAATTAAATTTATTAATTTTAATGTATAACCACTGTACCTACCTCTTTTAATTATTTTTTTTTACTTTTTGTGAGAGTGGGGATGGCTGGAACATAATTTTATTTTCATAAATATTTTTTTTCCATTCCCTATATATTCTGATATTCATATTATATTTTTTCTTGAAATTGAAAGTTATAATACCACCACAGCTGCTCATATTGGATCATTAAAAAAATGTTGTGTTCTACAAACTCATTTATAATGTATGAATAATTTATGTACCTAAAATGTGATGTCCACCGTGGCACTGTTTTTATATTGCAACTATAATCACCTGATAACTTTATTTTGTTAGTACATGCCTATAGGCTATATATTGTAATGTTTTCGACAAAGTTTAAAGGTCGATTTTGGAAAATTTATCTATTATCCTTATATCTACGGAATTTGGTATTTAATACTTTATATTTTATTTATATGTTGAGCCGATTTATATAATACCTATATGAAAGGGTTTTATTCAATTTAAGGAGTGTCCGGTGGTAATACATACTTATTTTTTCAAATGAGAACTGCCTAATATACACTTTTTGATTGTAAATTGTTATGGAGATAATTTTTGAAAATTACGATGTGTATAAATTTAAATTAGAACCAGCAGTTTTTGAATTTTTATAAGTATACTTAGGAGTCTATAATAACTTAAACTAGTTTAGGAGATAATATTATAGATGCTAATATGCTACCTATTATGATTTGAAAATTATAGCACTTAATATTTTAATTTATTAAAATTTTTATCTTATGTAAAATCATTATTAAAGAATATTATTTTTATGGTATATAAAGTTTAATGACTCGGAAATTATTTGTTCAAATGTCAAATTAGATAGGTATAGGTACATAAAAATTCTCAAAAAACTCATCTAATTAACAATTTATGTTACAATAGGTTTTTATTTGAAAAATGACGTTTTGCCACATGATACTCCTTTAATGTTATATATTAGGTATATAATATAAAAGTATTTGAAAACATGATTTTTACAAGATTACTTAAAAAATATATCGAATATTACGAAAATCGTTATTTTCAAAAGTTTGTGAATATTAATAGAGACAATTTTAAAATTGACAATTATTGATGAATCTAAAATATTTAAATTTTATCTTTTATTTATTTAAGATACCCATCTTATTCAAATCGAAAAAAAAATATTATTCAATACTAGTTCCTAAAATAGGAATATATTTGTCTCGATATTTGTATTATAATACATTTTTATGTTGT